CACAAGGACTTGCAAGATTGTCGCCAAGACAATTACTTAGTATTCTTGACCAAATTCCAGAACCTAATGCTAATCACCTGAGAAGCTATCTTCAAACAGTTGGCATTACCGTTGCATAATACGAACTAGATGTCCGAGATAGACTAAAAATTCATCTGATTGCTCGGAAAATAAATAACATTGAACTGAATAAATTGTAATAAAAAGGCGAAAAAAATTGTTTTTCCGGTATTTGTGTTATGAAAGCTACGAGACTGAATATTATATCACTATGTCATGTAATTGAATACTTCAACAATTATTTATCATTTTCATGTGATATATGTTTGGAGTCTGTGACTTCAGAATCATAAAAAAAAAAAGAAATGTTAACATTGTAGCACAAAAACTATTGAAATAATCAATCGCTGCGTGTTATTCATGTATAAAACATTCCTGAGGAATTATTTAAATCAATTCATATTTTGTAAAATAACAAGAACGACAAGTATATGTTTTTCTAGTTTAGTTAGTCTCTTGTTTAATAAATATGTGCATGTCTAATCAAGTGACACCATGTTAACTAATGGCCTGTGAATAAATTAATTGTTGAATACTTTTTAAACATAGATATAAAATTTTTATGCTTCTATCTTTGTAAAGATTGTTGAACAAAAGTTTTAATCGCATTTTATATTTTAAATAAATTTGTTTGTATTTTGTTCCCTCTCATGATGATCGTAGAATAAAGTATTCACATATAAGTCTTCCATAAGTAATATATGATGTAATATATCTACAACAATTGTAATTATAAAAAAAAAAAATGAAATGCAATAGCGTGATAATAATGAATAATTTCAAACAAATTATTTTTTAAATTTTTCAATAAAATAATGGCAAGCATAGATTTTTTTATATTATTAAAAATAGATTTTTTATTTATATATAAAAATAGTAATAAATTAGTAAATAATAATAATAAAATTAATAAATATTAAATATTAATGTTAAAGTAGTGATTTTAAAAAAATTTTTTACATAAAAAGATTATATTGAAATAATATATATTATAATTGAATTGAATTATTAAATTAATCACAAAAATTTTTATATAAAAAATTAAACTTTATTTAAATAATGTTTTATACAATTATA